TCTATTCAGACAACCATGCATTAAAATTAGAATTCAACCACAACACAAATCACAGAAACCCTACAAACACATGGAAATTGAACAATGCACAATTGCACCATCCCTGGGTAAAGGAAGAAATAAAAAAAGAAATTAAAGACTTTCTGGAATTCAATGAGAATGAATACACAACATATGCAAACTTATGGGGCACTTTGAAAGCAGTGCTGAGAGGAGAGTTCATAGCACTAAGTGCCCACATGAAGAAACTGGAGAACAGTCATACTAGAGAATTAATAACACAGCTGAATGTTCTAGAACAAAAAGAAGCAAACTCACCCAGGAGGAGCAGATGCCAGGAAATAATCAAATTGAGGGCTGAAATCAATCAAGTAGAAACCAGAAAAACACTGAGAAGAACCAATGAAACAAAGAGTTGGTTCTTTGAGAAAATCAACAAAATAGACAAACCTCTGTCCAAACTAACCAAAAGAAAAAGAGAGAGAGAGTGCATGCTAATTAACAAAATCAAGAATGAAAAAGGGAAGATAACAATGGACTCTGAGGAAAGCCAGAGAACCATCAGGGCATACTTTGAAAATCTGTACTCCACAAAATTTGAAAATTTAAAGAAAATGGACAATTTCCTGGATAGATATCACTTGCCAAAACTAAATCAAGAACAGATAAACAACCTAAACAGACCTATAACCCCTAATGAAATAGAAGTAGTCATCCTCTCCCAAACAAAAAAAGCCCAGGCCCAGATGGCTTCAGTGCAGAATTCTACCAGAAATTCAAAGAAGAGCTAATTCCAATACTCCTCAAAGTACTCCACACAATAGAAGCAGGAGGCTCACTGCCAAACTCTTTTTACGAGGCTACAATTATCTTGATACCCAAGCCACACAAAGACACAACTAAGAAAGAGAACTATAGACCAATTTCCCTCATGAACATCGATGCAAAAATACTCAATAAAATACTCACAAACCGGATTCAAGAACACTTCAGAAAAATCATCCACCATGATCAAGTAGGCTTCATCCCAGGAATGCAGGGATGGTTCAGCATTAGAAAATCTATCAATGTAATCCACCATATAAACAAACTGTGAAAGAAAAGCCACATGATCATCTCACTAGATGCTGAAAACGCCTTTGACAAAATCCAATACCCTTTCATGATAAATGTCCTAAAGAGATCAGGGATAACAGGAACATAACTAAACCTAATAAAAGCAATATACAGTAAACCAACAGCTAACATTAAACTAAATGCAGAGAAACTCAAAGCAATTCCTCTAAAATCAGGAACAAGACAAGGCTGTCCACTTTCTCCATATCTCTTCAATATTGTACATGAAGTTCTAGCTACAGCAATAAGACAACAAAAGGAGATAAAGGGGATACAAATAGGAAAAGAAGTCAAACTTTCACTATTTGCAGATGATATGATAGTTTACATAAGTGACCCTAAAAACTCCATAAGGGAACTCCTAGAGCTGATAAACACCTTCAGCAATGTGGCAGGATACAAGGTAAACTCAAAAAAATCAGTGGCCCTATTATATACAGATGATGAAGTGACTGAGAAAGAAATCAGAGAAACATCACCCTTTACAATAGCCATAAACAGCATCAAATATCTGGGGATAATGTTAACCAAGGAAGTGAAAGACCTGTATATCAAGAACTTTGAGTCTTTAAAGAAAGAAATCAAAGAGGATACCAGATAATGGAAAGATCTCCCATGCTCTTGGATTGGTAGGATCAACATAATAAAATTGGCAATCTTGCCAAAAGCAGTCTACAGATTCAATGCAATCCCTATCAAAATTTCATCACAATTCTTCAAGGACCTGGAAAGAACAATAATCAACTTTATATGGAAAAACAAAAGGCCCAGGATAGCCAAAACATCCCTATACAATAAAGGAACTTCAGGAGGCATCACCATACCTGACTTCAAGCTCTATTATAGAGCTATAGTCCTGAAAACAGCTTGGTATTGGCACAAAAATAGGCAGGTAGACCAATGGAACCGAATTGAAAACCCTAATTTTAACTCACACACCTATGAACACTTGATTTTTGACAAAGAAGCTAAAACTATACAATGGAAAAAAGAAAGCATCTTCAACAAATGGTGCTGGCATAACTGGATACTGGGATGCAGAAGACTGCAGATAGATCCATGTTTATCGCCTTGTACAAAACTTAAGTCCAAATGGATCAAAGACCTCAACATAAATCCAGCCACACTGAAACTTTTAGAAGAGAAAGTGGGAGATACTCTTCAACGAGTTGTACAGGAGACCACTTCCTGAACATAACACCAGTGGCACAAACACAGAGATCGACAATTAACAAATGGGACCTCCTGAAACTGAGAAGCTTCTGTAAGGCAAAGGACACAGTCAACAAGACAAAAGGCAGTCCACAGAATGGGAAAAGATATTCACTAACCCCACATCTGACAGAGGGCTAATCTCCAAAATTTAAGAAGCAAGTCTCCAAAACACCAAAGGATCCAATTAAAAGGTGGGGTACAGAACTAAATAGAGAATTCTCAATAGAGGAGGCTAAAATGGCCAAGAGACACTTAAGAAAGTGCTCAACATCCTTAGCTATCAGGGAAATGCAAATCAAAACAACTCTGAGATACCATCTTACTCCTGTCAGAATGGCTAAAATCAAAAACACTGAAGACAATTTATGCTGGAGAGGATGTGGAAGAGAGGGGAACACTCCTCCATTGCTGGTGGGAGTGCCAATTCATACAGCCACTTTGGAAAGCAGTATGGAGATTCCTCAGGAAAATGGGAATCAATCTACCACAAGACCCAGCAATTCCACTCTTAGGCATATATCCAAATGAGGCAAATTCATACAACAAGGGCATCTGCTCCACTATGTTCATAGCAGCATTATTTGTAAGAGCCACAACCTCGAAGCAACCTAGATGCCCCTCAACTGAAGAGTGGATAGAGAAAATGTGGTATATTTACACAATGGAGTGTTACTCAGCAGAAAAAAATGAAATCTTGAAATTCGCAGGTAAATGGATGGCACTAGAAGAAACCATCCTGAGTGAGGTAACCCAGTCACAAAAAGACAAACATGGTATGTACTCAACTCATACATGAATTTTAGACATGGATCAGGATAGTGCCAGTCTGCACTTCCACTGACAGAGAGTCTGGGAAACAACAAAGAACCTAAAAGATATGCATAGTACCCAAGAGAAGAGGAATGAGGAAAGATCCTCTGAAGAGATGGGGAACACGGCGAGGGGTGTGGGGGAGTGGGAGCTGGGAAGAAGAGAGGGGGAGAAGAGGAAGAGAGAGTAGGTCATGGGGGAACAGGAAGGTTGAGTGGGAGGGGTAGAATAGGGGGAAGAGGGAATCATAGGTTAGAAGATAGATCAGCCACCAGTGTGACCTCTAGTGATCTAAAGGGATGACACCAACTGGCAAGCTAAGCAATAGTGGAGAGACCACCTCGAATGCCCATTCCTGATAATGAACTTGATGTCTATAACCATCTGTGAGCCTTCATCCTGTGACTGATGGAAGCAGAGGCAAACACAGTTAAACACTGAACTGAACCCAAGGAACCCAGTGACAGAGGGAGGAGCGATGAGTAAATTGGCAAAGAATGGGCTGGCAAAACCAGCAGAGACAGCTGATCTGAACATGGGAGAGCTCTTGGACCCCAGCCTGTCAGTGGGGAGGCCAGCATGGGACTGATCCGGACCCCCAAATGTGAGTGTCAGTGAGGAGGCCTGGGCAACCTATTGGGCCCTGAGCAGTGGATCAGTGTTTATCCCTCGAATACTAACAGACATCGTGTGCCCATAGCACAAAGAGGGATGGTCTCTCAGCCTGGACTCTTAGGGGAGTGCTTGAATCCTACCCTGTGTGAAATGACAGACTCTAGATATCCCCATATGTGGAAGGAATTGGCAATAGGGTGGGAGGCTGGGGGGGGATGGGGGTGCGGGAGGAGGGGAGGGAGAGGGAACTGGGATTGACATGTAAAACAAGCTATTTAAAATTAAAATAAAAAATTAAAAAAGACTTACAATCAGCAAGAACAACATTGAGCAATAGACACATTCTACATGTCCAGTCCCAGGGTAATGGCATATAATAGAGATTACTCTGATAGCTATTCTAACCTGCAAAGTTGAAGTCTTGTACCTAGTGTTTGTACCTATCTAAGATAATAGAGAACATTAGCTGTGACAGTCTAGTCTTCAACCTCATCAAAGACCTGAGAAGGAAAATAATATTACTCGGGTAGGCAGGGAAGTGCAAGCATTTGAATTCCTAAAAATGCAAGCGAAGACAGAAACAGCAGGCTACCTGGACAGCCACCCAAGGTCTCACAAAAACATCAGGGCAGTCAACTTTGGCTAAGGCCTAGATTATCAGACAGAGCATCTCAGAAGCAGGGAAATTTAAACACTGTCTTCCCCTGACGTGGCAAGGTTCAGCAGTCTCTTTAAGTTTTTCTCCGGCTAGCCCAGTTAGGACAGTGTGCTCAAAGTCAGTGGTTGAGGTAGGGGCAGTTCTTTGCCCAAGAGGTCAGTAGCCAAGAAGAGAAATAACCCCAGATGGAGTGTCATCAGTGCCCAATATACTCTCTGGAATAGCTTGGTGCTGTCTGGAGCAATTATGTCTCATATCAACAGAGTTCTCAACTATTAAAACATTTCTATTAATCTATGTATTACCTGAGGCTGTTAAGTGTGTTATGTTTTGTTTGTTTTTTTGAGACAGGGTTTCTCTGTGTAATAACCCTGAGTGTCCTGGAACTCGCTTTCTGAGCTAGGCTGGCCTCAAACTCAGAGATTCACCGGCCTCTGCCTCCTGAGTGCTGGGATCAAAGGTGTGTGCTACCACCACCTGACCCGGATGTGGTGTGTTTTGTCTTTCAAACATCTCGTCTCTATCTCGTGGCTACGCTTTACCCATGTTCACCTTTTCCTGTTTGTGTTTTTTGTTTTCCTCGTAGCTGTTGTCCATGGAGTGAGAATGACTGGACTGATCTGGGAATGGAAGCTCAGAGGTGAAGGGAGTCACCCAATGCTGCTCAGCTGTGGAGTGGTAGTTTCGGGAGCTTGCACGGAGGCTGTAGGAGTCTGACTTCAGACCGAGGACTCGTGAAGCACTCCGTATGGGCAGGAAACTGGCTGGACCGGCGGAGTTCAAGAACTCACGTTCTTAGCGTCATTGGTATTGGTTCTATTGTCATAACAATTGTTTTGTCATAATTGTGTTACCCGAGACAGAACCTCTCTCATAACCCATAGTTTGTGTTCGTTGCTTGTTGCTTTCTAAGAGCTCCGCACCGATGCATTATGCTCTGTCTGAGCTTGGCTTCCTATTGCCATGATAGGATACCCCGACAAAAGCATTTGAAGGAAGCAGTTTATTTGGCTCACGATTCTAGGTCTGTCCCGAACAGGGAAGTCACTGAAGCAGGAGTTTGAGAGAACCAGTTAAGTGTGTTCGTGGTTGGACAAAGAGAGGAATAGATGCATGCATGCCCGAGCTCCTCTCATCTCTCTCGTTTGTTCCTGAGGCAGGGTCTCACCAGGTAGCCCTGGCTGGCCCGGAACTCCCAAAGACCCGTCTGTCTCTGATTCATGAAGTGCTAGGATTTAAAGGTGTGAGCTGTCACAAGCAGAACTTATTTTTTATTTATTTGAAAGTTGCATTTATTCATTTATGTCTGTGTTGGTTTGCGTTTGCAAATGAGGAGGCAACTTTTGGGAGTTGAGTGCTTGCCTTTTGGTTTGTAAGGTCCCAGGGGATAGATGAAGTTGTAAAGTTTGGCCCCAAGTGCCTTTTCATGGTGAGCCAAGTCAGTGACTCCGCTCTCTCCCTTTGCACAGTCTAAGGTACAAACCCAAGCGATGGTGTGAATCACTTTGAGGTTGGGTGTTTCCACCTTAACATAATCAAGATGATCTCCTAGAGACATGCCCACAGGTCACCCTGATCTAGACAGTCCCTTCTGGAGACTCTCTTTCCAGGCGATTGTGGACTGTGTCAAGCTGTCAGGTAAGTCTAGCTATTACATGCCCCAAAAGCGTCGTTCTCCCTCGAATCTCAGGAAACAGCATGACCTTCAGGACGTGCTGCCTAGTTTGGGCCTTAACCTGTCTGTATCCTTTGAGCAAAACACACCTGGCATCCTCCTGAGCAGCTCAAGGCCAACACTAATATGTTTAGTGACTTTTCAGGTGACTTTCATCTTTGAGGATATGGCTGTAATTTTTACCCAAGAGGAGTTGGGGCGGCTACCTCCAGCTCTGAGTGCCCTGTATCAGGAGGTGTCTCTTGTAGCCCAGGCTGGCCTTGAACTCATCATATAGCTGAGGAGGACGTTTAGTTCCTTTTATCCTGTTCCCATTCCCAAAGTGCTAGGATGACACTGTGTGTCTGTGTGTATACACACATAGAGCCCAGAAAACAACTTGTAGGAATCACTCCTTCCCGCCGCATGGATCCTGGGAGTCAGGTTAAGGCTTGGTGGCAAGTACCTTTACCTGCCTTATTTATTTTTATTTTGGAGGTTCTTTTCTGTTTGTTTTGAGACAGGGTCACTATGTAGACCAGGCAGGCCTTGAACTCAAAGATCTACTTGTCTCTGCTTCTGAGCTCAGGAATTAAAGGAATGTGTCCCTACACCCAGTATGGATTTTTTTTTGCTTTTGTTTTTATTTTTTAAGACAATGTCTTACTTTACATCCTAAGCTGGCTTAGTACTTAGTGTGTAACCCAGCTTGGCCTCAGACTTGTAGCCATTCTTCTATTTTCCTCGGCCTCCCTAGTGCCAGCTGTCTTAGGGTTTCTCTTGCGGTGATGAAACACCACGACCAAAAGCAAGCTGAGGAGGAAAGGGCTTATTTGGCTTGTGATTCTGTCGTTGTCCTTGGCTTACACTTCTGCCCAGGATGAAATGACAGACTTTAGAGACCCCCCAAGGAGGGTCTCACCCTTCCTGGGGAATGATGCGGGGATTGGGTGGGAGCCTGGGGGGCTGGTGGAGGGACAAGGGAGCAGGGGTGGGAGAGGGAGCTGGGATTGACATGTGAAACATTCACGTTTCTAATTTAAATAAAAACATACTGGGAAAGAATATATATCCACGTGTCCATATTTCTCTCCTTGAAGGGTATCATGGTCCCAAACCAGAGCTGATGTGTCAACTAGAGAATGGGCAGGAGCTGTGAGGTGATGAGAGACCTTTCCCCAAAGATTATCAGTGCAGGTAAGGGAAGTGGGCAAGCCTGGCGACATCTTTAGGTCTGCCTCTTTTTGTCTCTGTCTCTGTCTCTGTCTCTGTCTCTGTGTCTCTCTCTCTCCCCTCTCCCTTCTCTTCCCCTGCCTCTTCCTCTCCCTCCCTCTCTTACCTTGTCTCTCTTTCCTTCCTTTTTTATCTGTGTGTATGTGTACACGTGTACCACAGTGTGCATTTGGAAGTCCGAGGACCCCTCGTGGGAGCTGGGAATTGGTTCTCTTTCCACTGTGTAGACTCTGCTTCTTAAACTCTGTGTGTTTCAGCCTTGCCTGCAAGCGCCTTACCCACTGAATCCTCTCCTGAGCCCTCCGTTTGCTTCCTTTCACAGTGGGGATTGACTAGAAAGTGACATGTCCAAAGTAAGCTTTTCTTGTGATGCAGAGGCAGGTGGTCTCCATGAGCTCATGGCCAGCCTGGTCTACATAGCCAGTTCCCTGCCGTCCAAGGCTACACAGTGGGACCCTGTCTCAAAACATAACAAAAATATAAGCTTTACCACTGGTGTTGTGTGGGTCACTGTGCAGAGCTTGTATTGTAAGAGATTTACTCATGGGCATGTGAAAGAACAGACTGAGCTCAACCTCAGAAAAGCAAGAGCAGACTGTTGGTCGGAGGTTGCTGCCCCCAAGCTCTGTGGAGAAGGTTTTGTGCGGGGTCTGACAACCCTTAGTTTTTGTAGCAGAGAGTAGAGGGGGAGAAAGGCCATAAACTGCTTTTTGCTGTTGTTGTTTTTTTTTTAACCTCAGGATAAAAGATAAAGCAGATTTCCTGTGAATATGCAATGAAGGTTATCTCTTTTCTGGAATTTCATAGCGGGTAGGTTTCTTGAATCATTGGATATGTTTATGGCCCTGAGTTTTTGTTTGTTTGTGTTATTTTGATTTCTTTTTTAGTTTTTAAGAAATTAAACCTATTTAATTAACATTAATTGCCAACCACAGCTCTGTCTTCCTTCTCTGCTTCTGTGTGAGCCCCCTCCTGCTCATCATTCTCATCTACCCACTTCCTCCTGCACTCTTCCTCTGTGTCCCTTCAGAAAGGGGCAGGCCTCCCATGGGCTACAACAAGGCATGGCAAGTCAAGTTGAGGCAGGACCAAGCTCCTCTTCCTGAATCAAGGCTGGGCAAGGTAATTCAGCATGAGGAACAGGTTTCCAAAAGCCAGCTAATCACTAGGGACAGGTCATGATCTCATTGCTAGAAGTCTAACAAAGAGACCAAGCTATACAACTGTCACACACACATGCAGAGGGCCTAGGTCAGTGTCATGTAGGCTCCCTAGCTTTTGGTCCAGAGTCCCTGTGCTTTCAGCTCTCTCTGTGGGTTCCTCTGTCATGATCTTGGCCCTTCCCCTGCTCATACAATCCCTCCTTCCTTTCTTCAGGAGGACTCCTGGAGATCTGCCCAGTGTTTGACTGTGGATCTCTGCATCTGCTTCCATCAGTTACTGGATAAAAGCTCTCTGACAACAATTAGTACAGTCTCCACTCCAATCATGGTAGATGGCCAGTTCAGGTAGTCTCTCCACTGTTGCCAGGAGTCTTAGCAGAGATCACGCTTGTGGATTCATGGGAGTTTCCCTGACACCACGTTTCTCCCTGATAGCTGAGAGGCCAGCCTGTGACTGATCCAGACCCCCTAAATTTGAGTGTCAGTGAGGAGGCCTCAGCAATCTATGGGGCCTCAGGTAGTAGATCAGAATTTATCTCTGGCATACGAATGGGCTTTGGGAGCCCATTCCACATGGAGGGATGCTCTCTCAGGCTGGAGTTATTGTGGAGGGCCTAGACCCTGCCCTGGATGATATGACAGAGTTTGGAGATTACCCTTGGAGGGCCTCACCTGGGGAGGGGAGTGGGGATTGGGGTAGTGTTAGTGGCCGGCAGGGGAGGAGGGGAGGGAGAGGGAACTGGGTTTGATGTGTGAAGCAAGCTTATTTCTAATTTAAATTAAAAAAAAGAAAGAAACCTTGTCTCTTCACATTGCATCACATCTCACAAATTAAGTTGATTGTCTTGAGAAAAGCACTGCTTTGCCAAATCCAACAACAAAAGGGGAGGAAATTCCTAGAAGATATTGTCTGTGATTGGGATTTTTGTAATGAACTTGTGACAAAAATGAATCCTATAAACACAGTACTCAAGAATGAAACTTTCAATATTCAACTAAAGTAAAAACCAATATGTTTTCTTTCTGATTATGGGATGAAGCTTCTGTCCGGCTCATCTGTCTCCTGTGGTGTGAGAACCGACCTCTGTCCAGTGTCCTCAGTGTCCGCTTTGCAGAGCCGAAGTTCTCAGGGGCCCACTTGGTTTCAGAGCCACAGAGTCACTGCCCCACAACCTTGGTCATTAACCTCCCTCATCTCACGGGCTCATGTGTCACCTCACATCATCCCAAGAGGGAGTGCAGGAGAGTGGGCCCGGGGAGGTGGGGGCATGGGGGGGAAGGGGAGGGGACAGTTTAAATCTCTTCTCTTCTCTACCCTGCTGTCATCATTAGGCTTTGTAATTGTTACTGGTGTCTCTGACTGCGGGGGATTTAGAATTACTAACCTTGTCGTAGGAGTGTGGTCACATAACACAGGAGTGTAGACAGGGTTCACTGCGCTACTGGATACAGCCACAGGTTCTCACTGGGGATCTCTCTCCCAGCAGAGAAGGGGGACGACCATATTGAAACAATGTGTGGCTTTACATGCGGAGTAGAACTTAACCCTGTGGGACAGGAAGAGCAAGGGGACCACTTGGGGGAGGGGCAGCAGGAGAGAGAGGAAAGGAAGAATACCGAGGGTGAAATGACCATGGCGTCCTGATACACATGGTTTGTGGTGTCTGTGTAGCTCAGCACAGAGGTGCATGCCTCCGACCCCAGAACCGCAGAGGTGGAGGCAGGATGCCATGAGTTCAAAGCCAGCCTCAGGGACACAGTGAGTCTGAAGGCTGCCTGAGATCAGTGGACCCTATCCTGAAACAAACATCTGCCAGCGATGACTGCAGAGGGTGGCTGAACCTGGAGTTGGAGGAGCTTGCACCCTTTGTCACACCCTGCTGTGTGAGGGAGAGGATGCTGGAGTCCATGGAGACTCTGTGGACAGAGAATGAGCATTGGCCGCAATGCAGCTACCCAGACCATACCCTGGCCTTAAGAAGTCACAAACCTGCTGGTGTTGGTGGCCTCGCTGCTGGTCATCCTCATGATGCTGGTGTGTGTGCTGGGTATTTTGTGCAGCTTCTAGTTTCATCTAAATTCTGGTCTCCACGGAAACCGTTGGGAGACACAGCATCCCAGGAAGGAAGCCATGAGCCTTTGGGTCTGAACCTAGAGAGCACCTTGCAGTCTCCACACAGGACAGGATCCCATGGCCACTGGAGGACACTTGCTGAGGAAGGCCACTGAGCCCAGACACCGATCAAGACACAGGGTTAGGCCATTTAGAGCCTCTGATTCTGATCTGAACTATCCCAAGGCCCGGATGAAGGTTGAATTAGAATTATACTCTCAGCTTCCATTTCGCAGGCCACGGAGTGGGTTAGAGCCACAGCTGAGGGGTCCTGATCTACTCTGAACACTCCCCAGTGTTCCTGATCTCCTCTACACTCATCCTGACTAACCTGACCAGCAGTTGGCCCTAGGCAGCTCAGAGACGCCATGACAAACAGTGCTCAGTCCAGCAGAGCAGGGTGAGGAAAAGTGTTCGTCCCCAGGGAAGGTTTGCAGTGCAGAAGCCCAGGGCTCCAGTATCCCCAATGTCCCCCAGTTTAGTTCTCCAGCTCCTAACCTGTGTCAGGTCTTTCTGCTACGATAGTGATTATAACTCTGCAGTTCTCATCCACATTGGGTGTGGAGATCCCGGAGATTGAACCAGCATCACCGCGGACTCCGGGGTTATAAAGTCCAAGCTGACCTCGGAAGTCGGACGCGCCCGGGTCTGAGAAGGGGGTGATGGTGCCGGGCACGCTGCTGCTTCTGCTGCTGGCGGCTGTCCTGGCCCCGACCCAGACCAGGGCAGGTGAGTGCTGGGGTCGGGAGGAAAACAACCTCTGCGGGGGAGGGGAGGGAGCAGGGGCGGCACCAGGGAAGCCTCGTTCCTGTACCGCCCAGCCAGACCCTCTGGTCCCTTCTCCACCCAAGTCCCGAGTCCCGCGCCCTGCTCCCCTCCCGGTCCGCACACCCGCCCGTGGTCCCGGGGGGAGGGTGGGGGTCTCACGGGGCGCCGCCCCCAGGCTCGCACTCGCTGAGGAATTTCTACACCATCGTGTCCCGGCCTGGCGTCGGGGAGCCCCGGTTCATTGTCGTCGGCTACGTGGACGACACCCAGTTCGTGCGCTTCGACAGCTATGCGGAGGCTCCCAGATACGAGCCCCGGGTGCCGTGGCTGGAGAAGGAGTGGCCGGAGTATTGGGAGAGGAACACACGGAAAGCCAAGGACAGCGAGCAGATTTTCCGAGTGAGCCTGAGGTCCCTGCTTGGCTACTACAACCAGTCCGAGGGCGGTGAGTGACCCCGGGTGGGAGGACAACACCCCTCTAGGTCCCCACATACAGGCCAGAGTCGCCCCAGGTTCCAAGTCCGAGGTCCAGGAGGAGGAGAGCAGGGACAGGGATCCCGTTTCCCTTTCGGTTTAGAGTAACCAAGGTTGAACTTGGCCGAGGGGCGGGGCCGAGGGGCGGGGCCGAGGGGTGGGACAAGTGGGGGGGCGCGGACGTGGGATGCAGGCCACCTCCGGGCGGGACCGGTGGGCCAAGCTGCCCTTAGGGTCCCCCCATCCCCGCCCACGCCCCCAGGCTCTCACACCATCCAGCTCATGTACGGCTGTCACGTGGGGTCGGATGGGCGCCTCCTCCGTGGGTACCATCAATATGCCTACGATGGCGAGGATTACATAGCCCTGAACGACGACCTGAAGACCTGGACGGCTGTGGACACAGCAGCCCAGATCTCCAGGCACAATTTGCAGCAGGCTGGTGCCACAGAGAGATACAGGGCCTACCTGGAAGGCGAGTGCGTGGAGTGGCTCCACAGACACCTGGAGACCGGGAAGGACCACCTGCTGCGCACAGGTGCATGGGCCAACTCCCCCCTCTGCCCTCGGGCTGGGCTCAGTCCTGAGGAAGCAGAGACCCCCTCAGCTGGGGTCACGTCCCTGTCTCTGTCCTCTTTGCAAAGAATACATTCTCGCAGGTTCCAGGGAGTGAGGTTTGCATCCCTCCCTCACCCCAATTCTGTCTATTCTGAGAATGAGCACTTATGGGGTCCCCTGGGAGAATTCTAAATTGTGGGTTTTTTCTTTCCTCTCTCTCTCTCTCTCTCTCTCTCTCTCCCTCCCTCCCTCCCTCCCTCCCTCCCTCCCTCCCTCCCTCCCTCCCTCCCTCCCTCCCTCCCTCCCTCCCTCTCTCTCTCTCTCTCTCTCTCTCTCTCTCTCTCTCTCTCGTCATTTGCTTTACTCCGTTTTTCTTCCTCACTGAGATGCTGCTGCCTCTCTCCCTCCTCTTGTATTATGGGCATCAGTCTCCCCAGGTGCCAAGAAGCCCTAATGCTCTGGATAATTAGACAAATTAAGTCAGTGTTCTCTTTAAACGAGAAGAACTCAGGCGATTTAAACTATTTTGTGCCAGAATTAACCAGCCAGAGCCCCTTGCTCTCCCTCAGCCCCAACAAATTGCATTGTTGCCCCCAGCAAATTAGGGGTTGAACTTCCTCAGAGACAGGGTTATGTACTCTGTGCCTCTAATTTCTTATTTTGATATGAATTTACCATCCCTCCTTCCAATCTTTTAGCTCCTAACTTATGCTGTAGAACATCACATAAGGAAGACCACATGGACCTGCGGGGTCATTTGATTCTTAGCTTCTGGGTCCGCCCCCCCAAGAAAATGTGCAGATCTGTGATTATGGGGACCAGCTCTACCTGCAGGTCACTAGAGTAATGACTGTCAGAAGTGTTCAGACACATAGTAGGGTGTCATCATTGATTTAGCATGTCTTTGCAGATTTCAGTTTATCTTGTTATTGTGGGATTTCTTAAATCTTCCACATAGATCCCCCAAAGGCACATGTGACCCATCATCCTGGATCTAAAGATGATGTCACCCTGAGGTGCTGGGCCCTGGGTTTCTACCCTGCTGCCATCACCCTGACCTGGCAGAAGGAGGAGGAGGAACAGACTCAGGACATGGAGCTGGTGGAGACCAGACCTTCTGGGGATGGAACCTTCCAGAAGTGGGCATCTCTGGTAGTGCCTTCTGGGGAGGAACAGAAATACACATGCCACGTGCAGCATGAGGGGCTGCCTGAGCCCCTCACCCTGAGATGGGGTAAGGAGGGAGTGGGTGCAGAGCTGTATTCAGGGAAATTTGGAGCCTTCTGCAGAGTCTGAGCAGGGTGACACTGAGAGCAGGGGTCGTGACCCTCACCTTCCCTTCCTCTCCTTCCATTCCCAGAGCCTCCTCAGTCCACTGTCCCCATCATGGCAGTCATTGCTGTTCTGGTCCTCCTTGGAGTTGGGACTATCATTGGAGCCTTGGTGATTGTTGTGAGGAAGATGAGGAGAAACACGGGTAGGAAAGGGCAGGGTCTGAGCTCCCTCTCAGCCCCTTTCAGAAGTGTGCTCTGCCTCATGGAAAAACATCCACACACACCCCCTCCCCCATTGCTCCTGTCTCTATCCTGGGTCTTCTGTAGGTTGAGGAAAATTCCTAGGGATGGGCTCATCCCTGGTCTCTCACAGCTTTTCTTCTCACAGGTGGAAAAGGAGGGAAGTATGCTCCCACTCCAGGTAAGTGTGGGGAGCAGGATTGTCCCTGAGACCCTTGGGGTGGACCTGAAATATTTGTGGAGCTCTCCCAACTCGTGTTAGCTCCTAGAGCAAAGTCTTCTAGGGGCCATGTTTTTTCTTCCTGTGAATATATATATATTGTTCACTAGGCAGGGACAGTTCCCAGAGTTCGGATATGTCTCTCCCAGACTGTGAAGGTGACACTCCAGACCTGATATGGGGGTCTGGGAGGGCAAAATGGACATGATTGGGTTTCAGGGACTCCCCAAATCACCTGTGAGTGACTGGCGGGTTGTTGGGATGTTGTCTTCACAGTAATTGTTCATGACTCTTGTTCTGTAGCTTGAAGACAGCTGCCTGGCATGGACAGGGTGGCATTGTGTTCAGAGCTGTCCTGTGACTCCCTGCAACAGTGTCTCATGATCCCTGTGATCCTTCTGGGCTCAATGTGAAGAACTGGGAGCTCAGCCCAGCCCTGCACACCAGGACCCTGTCCCTGCGCTGCCTGTGTTCCCTTCCACAGTCAACCCTTCTGTTCCAGCAGACAGGAGAGGCCATCTCCATCCTCCATGCTGCCCTGAACTGCAGCCCCTGACTACCCCGCTGAAAATAAGAATCTCAATTTGAACTTGATTGTTGACATCATTGGTCTGACAGGTTGATTGGCTGTTAAATAAATTAAGAGTTTGTGGAGGCACCTCAGTCTTGGGTCCCCTCCATTCCCCACCCTGAGCTTGAGGTGAGTGTGGGTTCTTCTCGGGTCCCCAACTCCCAACATTCCCCCTGCATCCATCTTCCTGGGCCTGCTCTGCACCTAGAATGGACCTTCCCTGCCAGAAAGGAGCACCCTGAGTCTGGCCACACTTCATTCTTAGGTCCCCTCTGCCCCACACCCTGTGCTTGAGGTGAGTGTGGGCTCTTCTCAGGGGCCCCGACTCCCAAATCTTCCTGATTAGATCTTTCTGGGCCTGTCTCTTGCCTAGCATGTCTCAGACCCACCTGCACCCATTGTGAGACCCATCGGAGTACTGGACCTGCTTGAACGCACTGGAAGAGAACAGTATACCCATACTCACCAGGAGAGGAAGAGACCCCACGAGCTCCCACTGAAAGAAGGGATGGGAAGACAGCAATATAAAAACACAGTCAACAGTAGAAAAACCAATATGACCCTACTAGAGTCTAGGGACTCTACACCAGCAAGACCTGAACATCCTAACACAGATAAAACAGAAAAGAATGATCTTCAAAACAACCTCTTGAAAATGATAAAGGCCCTCAAAGAAGATATGTGAAAGTACCTTAAAGAAATAGAAGGAAAAAAACAAACCAAAATTGCAAGAAATCCAAAAATCTCTTAAGGAAAGCCAAGAAAAAACCATCAAATAGATGAAGGAAGCAATTCAAACAGTTCACAACCTGAAAACTGAAATAGAGAAAATAACGAAAACACAAACTGAGAAATGCTGGAAATAGAGAAGCTGGATAAATGATCTGGAACTACAGATGCAAGTGTAACCAACAGAATACAAGAGATGGAAGACAGAATCTCAGGCACTGAATACAAACTAGAGGAAATAGAGTCATCAACCAAAGAAAATCTTAAATCCAACAAATCCTTAACACAAAATATCCAGGAAATATGGGACATTGTGAAAAGACCAAACCTAAGAACAATAGGTATAGAAGAAGATGAGGAAGCCCAGCTCAAAGGTGCAGAAAACATATTCAACAAAACCATAGAAGAAAAGTTTCCCAACCTGAAGCAGGATATGCCTATGAAAATACAAGACGCTTACCGAACACCAAATACAATGGACCAAAGATTCAGTGGGAATAGTGGCATAAGAACAGGCACAAAAGTTAGTTAAGTAGAAGTGAGGAACCCTAATTACCCTCCCACACCTCTATCTAGACAATTTAGTGGAATTGTGTGTGCGCATGTGTTTGGTACATAGTTAAGTGCAGGTTATATGTGTGCATGCCCACAGGGGTGAAAGTGGTCAATCTTAGCTTTCTTTCCCTCTGAAAGACTACCATTTTAAAAAGAGGTTCTTAATTGCTTATTACATGCCTGCATGGGTGCCTGTGAGCACTTGTAGAGAACAGAGGTGTTGGATCTCTTGGAGCTGGAGTTACCAGTGGTTATGTGTCACTTCATGTGGTGCATGGGGTCAAATTCCAATCCTGTATGTACACACGAGAATTCAGAGGACTAGCTGAGAGATGGTGTCACACACCATTAACGGCAGCACTTGGGGAGGCAGAGGCAGGCGGATCTCTGGGATTTCAAGGGTAGCCTGGTCTACAGAGTGAGTTCTAGGACAACCAGGACTACACAGAGAAACCTTGTCTTGCCGGGCGTTGGTGGCGCACACCTTTAATCCCAGCACTCGGGAGGCAGAGGCAGGCGGATCTCTGGAAGTTCGAGGTCAGCCTGGTCTACAAAGTGAGTTCCAGCACAGCCTCCAAAACCACAGAGAAACCCTGTCTCGAAAAACCAAAAAAAAAAAAAGAGAAACCTTGTCTTGAAAAAACAAATACAACATTAAAGAGAGATCATGGGATTAATTTTTTAGGTAACATTATAAAGCATGTGCCTTTAAATGTATCCATGTTTACACCACACCCTGTGTGCAAACCTGGGGCCTGTCCCTCATCTGGCACTTGGTCACTCTGGATTGGTTCTCTGTCTTCTTCTGGGTTACTCATTGAGTCATCTGCAACAGAGAGGAAGAGAGAATGCTGTTAATAAGTCACAGTCTAAGTGCTCCAGCCGGGGACAGGAACACTCCATGTGTATCTACCCAGGGGAATTAGAGCAAGTCTTGACCCAGTTTATGGCCAGAGGAGTACTCTAGGCCACCATGAGCACCAAGTGAATTCATTCAAGTGGACAACAGGAGCATTGCTGGGAGGCATCACAGACTATTTTGAGACAGGTTCTTACTATATAATTTAAGCTGGCCTAGAACTTGCTATGTGGACCAAGCTGACCTTGAACTCAGATCTGCTGATCTCAGCCTCCCAACCCAAGCATTGGGGTTCAAGTTGTACACTACCATGACTGGCTCATCAGTAGACTCTTAATGATTCTTGCTACTCAAAGATGACACCTTCTCCTTGCCTCAATAACAATAAAAATGAATAAATGATCCACTTAAGCTTGAGGGTAGGAAGGATGAGGTTTGGGTAGCCTTAAAACCACTACTTAAGCCAGACATTGGTGGCGTACGACTTTAATTCCAGCACTTGGGAGGCAGAGGCAGGTAGGTCTCTGTGAGTTTGAGGCCAGCTTGGTCTACAGAGGGAGTTCCAGGGCAGCCTCCAAAACAACACAGAGAAACCATGTCTCAAAAAAAAAAAAAAAACAAAAACAAAAAACAAAAACCAAACCAAAAGAAAAAAAACATTATTTAGGCAAATTGGAAATAATCTAGATGTCCTTCAACTGAATGGATACAGAAAATGTGGTACATTAACACAATGGAGTACTACTCAGTGGCAAAAATCATTACTTGGAGCTGGAGAGATGGATCAGAGGTTAAGAGCACTGACTGCTCTTCCAGAGGACACAGGTTCAATTCCCAGTATCCATATAGCCTCAAACAACTGTCTGTAGCTCCAAGATCTGACACTCTCACACAGACATATGTGTAGGCAAAACATCAATACACATAAATAAAAAGTAAATTATTTAAAATCAAACTATCTAGTATCTGAAATGCATAACACATGAGATTTAAGATCAACAGAGTGCCTTTTTAAATAAGATTATGACATCATAAAAAAGACCAAGAAACATTTGTAAGTACTAGACTTGATTGCAGTCAGAGCTTCATGAACACAGTATCATTAGAGATTGAGCCAGAGACTCATGCATGCTAAGCACATGTAACCACTAGGGATTGAAGCCAAGTCTCATGTGTGCTGTGCACATAAGCACTAGAGATTGGAGCTGGACCTCATGACTATACACACACCACCACCAGAATCTACGGCATCATGCATGCCATGCACACACTACTAGAGACCGAAGCCAGGAGGTCTCATACATATTAAGTACACAGCAATACAAGAGACTGAATCGGAGTCTCATGCATGCTTTGTATGCACAACCACTAGGGATCATCAGTGTCTAGGAAGCATAAGGAGCAGAAAGAACATGGAAACGTTGAGTAAACACCTAGGGAAATAGCAGGTGTCATTTTGAATAGAGAGCCATTGTGAGATCCTTTATAGTCGACCTGGAACTCACAGAGATCCACCTTCCTCTGTGTCCCTAGTGCAGGGATTAAAGGTGTGCACCGCCACCTCTTGGAAATTTTTAAAAAGATAACTTATTATATAAAGACTGTTCTGCCTGCATGTATGTCTCCATGCCAGGAGAGGGCACCAGATCTCATTTATAGATGGTTTGCAAACCACCATATGGTTGCTGGGACTTGAACTTAGGACCCTTGGGAGAGCAATCAATGCTCTTAACCTCTGAGCCATCTCTCCAGCCCTCACCCAAGCTCTTGTAAGCAACCCTGATCAAACCTGTTGGGAGGTCAACAGTCAAAGCAGAAAAGGGCTAGGTTTTTTATTTTCATTTTTTAAAATTTATTTTTCAGTTTAAATTTAGTTAAACAAGGTTGCTTCACAAGTCAGTTTCAGGTCCCTCTCCCTTTCCCTCCTCCCGTGCCCTCCCCCCCAACCCCCCATTGTCCCCTCATTTCCCCAGGGAGGGTGAGACCCTCCATGGGGGTGTCCATAGTCTGTCATTTCATATAGGGCAGTGCCTAGACCTCCCCCAAGAGTTCAGGGTGAGAGTGCACCTCACATTGTTGGATGGGAGTCCAAAGTCCATGTGTATACTCGGGATGGGTACTGATCTGCTGCCCAAGGATAAATAGATTACCTAGGCCTCCTCACTGACACCCACATTCAGGGGGTCTTGATCAGTCCCATGCTGGATTCCCAGGCTGATGCCTGGGATTCAAGAGTTAACCTTTGTCAGGTCAGCTGTTTCTGGGGGTTAAACCAGCCTAGTCTTAATCCCTTTGGTCATCAGTCCTCCCTCTCTGTTACTGGCTTTCTTGAGTTCAGCTCAGTACTTAACCGAGGGAGTCTGCCTCTTCTTCGATCAGCCACTGAATGAAGTTTCTGTTTCCCAGACTCTCTGGCCATGGGATTGTAGGCTGGCACTCCCCAGATCTATGTCTAAAATCCATATATGAGAGAGTACATGCCATGTTTCTCTTTTTGTGACTGGGTCACCTCACTCAGGATGGTTTCTTCTAGTGTCATCCATTTGCCTGCAAATCTCAGGATTCCATTGTTTTTTTTTTCTGCTGAATAGTACTCCATTGTGTAAATGTACCACATTTTCTCTATCCACTTTTTGGTTGAGGGACATCTAAGTTGCTTCCAAGTTCTGGCGATTACAAATAATGCTGCTATGAACATAGTGGAACAGACATCTTTGTTGTATGAATGTGCATCTTTTGGATGTATGCCTAAGAGTGGAGTTGCTGGGTCTTGTGGTAGGTTTATTCCCATTTTTCTGAGGAATCTCCATACTGATTTCCAAAGTGGCTGAACCAGTTGGCACTCCCACCAGCAATGGAGGAGTGTCCCCCTTTCACCACATCCTCTCCAGCATAAATTGTCTTTGGTGTTTTTGATTTTAGCCATTCTGACAGGAGTGAGATG